ACTTTACCCACTAACATTGTAAGTGGAGATTTGTATCAAGATGCTCCATGACATAAAGTTGTATTGTATACACTCAGGGCCTGATCCTGAAGAGAAGACATGAATTCAAATCAAGGGGAGGCCTTGCATAAGGATCGCAAGAGGAGACGATAATGCATTAAATTATGGCTTCTGTCTAATTGCCACAAGGGTCAGTTTCTCATCAGCTTGTCATGCCATTTCAAATCTCTCCCGGAAATGCAACCTTCCCCCTTGCTCTTTTCTTCTTGCTTTTGGTCCCCTTAACATTATAAGGAATCAATACTACTCTGATTTGCTGACTCACCTCTGGGTTGCTCCTTAAACGCGCATGTTGCACAGGAGGATTAGGAGCCCTTGTCTGTCTCTTCCCCCCTTCCTAGCAAGAGTATCGGAACATTTTAAATAAATAAATAAAAGTATGAAACCCTCAAGAAGTGCCAGTTACCAAGCAAAGTGGCCACTTCCTCTTAGCGTGAACGCCACAGCAGTGCAGCACCTCAGGGTGAAACCCCGCCGGCCCAGAGCCTAAGCGGTTGGGTTGCATAGCGGTTAAAAGCTGGGAATGAGGAAGGGGAATGTGCCACAGCCCAGCCTCCCACTCCAGACGAGCCAGCCTACAGGCTGCAACAATGAGCACAATCCTAGAGCTGCTAGTGCAGGGGGCCCGAGCCACTGACTTCCTGTGAACCCTGATTCTACCCTTCCCCTGCCAGCCTCTTCACTGCCTCCTCTTCAGAGCAGCATGGCTGTCATGGAGACCCTCCTCCCTGGTGCCCAGGGAGTGCAGAGTGGCCAACACGCCACGGGGAATATTACCCTTACTGCAGTAGCCTTCACCATCCCTCCCCAGGGTTTATTAATGGACATGCTCAACTTTTCTAATCTGAATATTTTAGGTGCTAATTATCTGGGGCCTGCTCTTGCACCCAACCCACTGAAGTCATTGATAAAAATTTCCTTTGGCTTCCATGGGAGCAGAATCAAAACCTCTGTTTAAATACCTGGAGTGGAGAGTGCACCGGTTTGAGGCATGATCCTGAGGTCCTTACTCAGGTAGAATTTTTTTTTTTTCATTTTTCAATTGAAATTCCATTGATCAAGTCATGCACCTGGGTACAGGTCTCTCTGGGGAAATGACCCAGTAAAATAAGTCATAGTGTTAAAATATCCCTGTGTAGGAAGGGGCTACTAATAATATTCTGTAATAACGTTTAACTTTTTAAATAACTTTTAATAACTTTCTGTAATAACTTTTTTGATCATCCATTGAAAGTCTACAATGCAGTTCAAGCAGATGTTTCACCTGAATAAGGACTGCAGGATCAGGGGTCTAAGAACATATGTCTTGCAAATGTCATGTGTTTGAAGTCCAAGCTGTTTTTTAATGATCACACAGAAAGACACCCTGAGTGATGAATGCGGGTGTGTGTGTCAGCTATTTTTCTCCACCTGCAAATTAACGCTTTTGCACTTGGAGTCAAAAGTCTTCTTGCCAGAAAAGGTTAGAGCCAGGGAGTTTTAAAATAGCCAGACAGATTTTTAAACCAAGTTTCTCAAAAAGAAACACGTTCCTGGTCTGAGGCCCTGTGGGCCAGGTTTCAGAGCGAGTATGAACCAGTGATTGCAACAGAAAGCCCACCACACCCTTGGCTGCAGCAGCACCAACACACGAGCCGCATACATTTGTATAGGGGAGAAAAAGAGGCAGACAGTTGTCATTGCCCTTTTGAGTGATATGGGCTTTTCACTGTATGCCCTTTAAATGGTCTAAGTCTTTCCTATGTCTGCTAAATTGCGGCAAACTGAGTTTTTTGCAGCAGGGGAGCGACGGTCACCCAAACATGCTTTTTAGTAACAACAGGCCTTTGCAAGGTGAACGTACACCCCTGTGCATGACAGAAGAACACACTCATGTCTCGTCTACACACTAACTTGAAGTGAAACAGCTAATTTGGTTTTAATTCCCATCTTTAGTTATTTTGGTGGAAGTTTGTGTGGGACACATTTCAGAAGAAAAATGTTCCTATTTTAATTTAATGTAATGTGATAAAAAAAATCAACTTCAGCTAAACCAAAATAGGACACTCTTAATCCAAAATAAGACTGTGCGCATGCAAATTTGTATTGAAATAACTAAAGGCGTGAATTAAAACTGGTTTACTTAGTTGGAACAAACTGGAGAGAGTACACCCGATTCATTTTCTCCCAGCCATCTTCTGCCGTTGCCATTTACAGAATGCGAACACAACTGAAGTCAATTAAGATAAAAGATTTACACGACTTCATCCTCTGGTGTGTTTGACTGCCCACTCAGTACAAGACATAGTGTTATTCTGGATATCATCTTTCATACCAGCCTCTCCAAAATCCTTTCCAGAGTTAGACACTAATATGCTTCCCTGGAGAATGTGGTATATGTTTGGGTTTGTCCGCCTAATAATGGATTGGGTTTTTGAAGAGATAAACATTTATAAAGACACACCTACACCCCATACACACATTATTAAAGCCATTGGGCCAGATGCTGGGGTACAGGAATAATACACAAGGCAGGGCACTAGGTGGTGTTTAAAGCTCTCCTTGCCCTCAGCTGATCCTGGGGTTGCTCTGTGCATGACATTCCAGGCATGCTATGCTACAGCAGCCTAAGCAAACCACATCCTCCCTCTCCCATTGCCCTGACAGGGTAAGTGAGGCACAGGAAGGCAGGCCAGGCAATGACTGGGGGCAGAACTCTTGAATCCTAATATCTTAGTTCAAACAATAGGGCTTCTTTAAACAGGGTATTGCTGGTTTCAGATTGGAAGGAAATAGGCCATTGGTTATAATAGAAGACCCTGAGGCCAGTCCAGTGGTTAGAACAGAGCCTAGGACTTGGGAGACCTTCATCCAAGTGCCTGTTCTCATGCAGATTCCCAGGGTGACTTGAGCAAGTCAGTGTATGTCAGTACCACAGCTGTAAACTGGGAATAAAAATAACGCCTCTCCGCCTCACAGGGATGCTATGAGATGCAAAGGTAGTGAGGCGATGGGAACCACGTACATATCTTCCATAGAGAGACACTGACTGGGGCTGTCCTCTCTGTAGGATTGAGGAGAAAAGAGTTGGACTACTCCGGTCATATCTCCAGGGGTTTGACTTTCAGTCCTCCCTCTCCACCCATCAATTCCTCCTTTCCTCCCTACTCCCTTTCCTCTCTGTCCTTCCCCCACCCCTTCCTTTCAGGCAGTGGTTCTCAACCAGGTGTCTAGGCCCCACGGGGGTGCTCTGAGCTGGTTTCAGGGGGTCTGCCAAGCAGGGCAGGCATTAGACTTGCTGGGGCCCAGGGCAGAAAGACAACATATGGGGCTGAAGCCCTGGCCCCATTAGGGGCTGATGCCACAGCCGGAGCAACTCAGCTTTGTGGGGCACCCTATGGTGTGAGGCCCAGGCACGTGCCCTGCTTACTACCCCCTAACGCCGGCCCTGGCTTTTATATACAGAAAAACAGTTGTTTGGGCACCGGCGGGAGTTGAGTTTTTATAGCATGTGATAGGCTCAGAAAGAAAAAGATTGAGAACCTGGTTGTAGGGGGACTCTTCCAAACTTTGCACTTGTTCCAATCTGCAACCTAATGGAGAAGTTTCAGTTCCTGCCAGTTTGCAGCTTCTTTTCCCCCAGGTCAGCAAAAAAATTCAGACCTCAGAGATCAACACCCCACCCATGCGATAGGCATCTTTCGAAATCCTCCAACCCAAACACACCCACAGCGTCTCTCGCTTCAAGTCGAGTCTGCTGCAACTGCTTCTGCGCTGCAGAGCGAAATTAAAAAAAAAACGCTCCGAGAGAGGATCACAAATGTGCACAAGTCCCTTTGCAGCAGAGCCGGGGGGCAGGATGCAACTCTGCTTGCAAAAATAGCGGCTATGTGTGGGCCTCATCCTGGCTCACAAGGGAGTAAGGACTGACCTTCCACCGCATATTGCAATGGCCCTGGCTTAGGAAAGCACATGACGATTTTGGTGGTGGTCTTTTTGCCACGAGAGAGAACGGTTTCTGTTACACCCACCCTGGACTAGAACGGCTAGGGAAATAGCCGGCCACTTTCGCAGCGCGGCGTTTCAACCAGACCTGGCAAAAAGTGAGGAAATCAGAACCTGTTGACATCTAACCAGGGGGGCGGGGGGAGGCACATCTGGGGCGAGCCTGGGAGCCGATCCCCTGCGCCAGCCCCAGGTACTTTTAGTTTGTGCTGAAAATACGACGCGCTTTTCTGTCCCCCTCCCCCCGGCGCTTCTCAATCCAAAGTTCAACCCAACTGAGCGCAAAGACCGGGTGCGTCTCTTCCCTTGGTGCGCAAGTGGCGCTGGGGAGAAAACTGTCATTGCTTCTGGCGGCGCAAGGGTGGCTTGCTTCTCAAAGCAGCAGGCAGGCCAAGCAGGGACTGAGACCTCCTCCCGAGAGCGCGGGGCTGGCTCCGCATCGCTCAGCCACATCGCCAGCTACCCGGGGGCCACGCACACCCAGCCCCTTCCTGCAGGCGTGGGCTTTTTCCTGCAGCGATCTGACAGCCCCCTCCGCGCCCAGGGGGGAGCCCGCCTTTCCCAGCCGGGGCAAATGCCCCGAAATAAACGGATCGCAAGTCAGATACACCCCCACCCACCCACGTACACACACCCCGCCGCCTCCACGCCTTGCCCCAACCGTGCGCACTGTGGCCGGCCAATACCCTCCCAACCGCGACCTCCCGCAGCCCTAGGAAGGGGAAGACAAGGAAAGCGTGAAAGGGGGAGGCTGGCTGAAAGAGGAGAAACGGGCCACTCTTCCTGGGATCAATGCTTGAACAAGATCCAACTCCCCCCGCCTTCCCCCGTCCCTCCCCCAAACGCACACTGCTCCAAAAGGCAGCCCTCCCCCACACCCTCCTGGAGTGGGGGCTGTCTCCTCCCCACAACCGCCCCCTCTGATTCCCCCCCTCGACCCCCGATATTCCTCTTACTTTAATAGTTCCGTCCATCGAGAATAATCTCCAGCCGATTCCCCCAATATTCCACACATTGACCCGGTTTAGCCTGGAACCGAAGCCCCCTGAAGTTCTTATCTTCCTTCCTTTCGCACTGGCTTTTCTTCCCCCCTTCCAATGATTTTACTTTCCTTTCCTTCGCTCGCTCGCTCTTTTTTACTTTTGGTTGGTGCCGTGGAGCGAAAAAGAGACAGTTAACCGGATGAAACTTTTTTTTCTGCTAATTTTGGGAAGTGAAGTCACTTGAGGAGGAAACATTCTGTCTCCCCGCTGGTCCTGCCTTCTCGATTAAAATATATCTGTATTTTACATCCAGGATATTTGCTCCATTCAGATAAGAGCGGGGCAGAACAATAGCGGTTTCTTTGGGGGTAGCTCTTGTTTGCTAGCCCAGTTGAGCTCCGCTTCGCAGCACAGGCTGCATTACCACGCACTGAGTGTCATCATAAAGTTTAGTTTAACATGTACTTTTGTTTGTGTGTGTGTGTGTGTGAGTGTGTGTGTGTGTGGCTGAAGCCAAGTAGCCTGAGTCACTGAATTTCCATCTCTTCCCACAGATTTTTTTATTAATGCTTTTTCCAGTCAAAGGCAAAATTAAGGGGGGGGGGGGAAGGGAGGGACGACCATAAATATAATTCAGTCTGGGGCACACAGAAAAAGATGACCGATTTAAACGGTCTATTTAGAACACGCTGGTGTCCCCCTCCTGCAGTCCTTACTCAGGCAAGGATCCCAGTGAGTTTGGCCTGAGGGAGGGAGGCTAGACTAGGTGCTAGCTATAACCAGAAAATAGCGGTGAGCATAATTCAGGGCAGGCAACTCCATTCAATTTAAGCATGTCAAGTGCCTTCTTCCATTCAGATACAATTTTTGGTGCCTTTCCAAGCAAGGGAACTCGGAGTTCCCTGTAGTTTTGAAAGGAACATTATTTTTAGAAAACTTTTTTTTTTTGCATTGCTTTCTCACCCCTTTAAAAGAAAAAGTCCCGTGTAAGCTTCCTCTACGTCGAAGTAAGTATACTGTGCTTTAAAAAGGGGGGAGGCATTTAAAATAGTGCATTACAGTAAGATGGGTTCAATTATTCGACTATATCTATATTTAAAGCCATTTCATTTCCCCCCCATCAGTATTAACATTTGAAATATTTATTGACCCTCAGGGTCTGGCCCAAAGCCTCGTGGAGTCAAAGGGAGACTGCCCGTTTCATTGCAATAGGCTTCGGATCAGGGCCCCAGTCAATTTGCCCCGCTATCTCCGGCGAAAAAGCCACGGATCACTAGTTTACTAACCGGAAAGTGACAAAAATAATAACAGCAAATAAAATTCCAGACCTGTCCCAAGTCCCCCTCTACCTCCCGGCTGTGGCAAATTTGGGGGGGGGGCGGGGGACACACTCCTCAATCCTTCTTCGGGAACTAAAAAGTAGATGACAACAGATGCAACATTTCATCCAACTAGAGAGCTAGAACATCGATCCCAAAGAAAAGGCCATTTATTTCCTCTTCTAAATAGTACATCCAAACAAACAAACCACGCTTTGGAAAAGCTCTCTAAACAATCAAGGTAAAAGAGACACACACTCCTTTCTACCCCCTCTCCCCTCCAAAAAAACCCCAAGCAAAACCATCTAGCAACAGGATCATGCAACATGTCTGGCATCTTTTTATTCCCCACTTCTGCAATGCAAGCTGCTGTAGCCCAAGGAGAATCCGAAAGATAAAGACAGTAATTCAGGGAGATGGAACCAAGAAATCCATTTCAAGGTAGGACACTCCTGTGAGTCCTTTCAACATAATTTTCCCTTTATGGAGTTGGTTACCTTATCCAGTGCAGTTGCGTCCAGTCTTTTGCTTCCCCCCTGATTTTTAATCCAACCACAGGGGGGGGAAAGTCACACCTCTGTCCACATTAATGTGCACCCCCCAAAATAACAAAATGACCCTCGTGTTTCTAGTCAGCTGCAGCAGAGGCGCCTTATTCATACTTTATTTCTCCAAGTGCAAAGCTGGCAGCCCAGCAGACCCCTCTTGCCCCTCCCTCTAACCCCCCGCGAAATTAGCCTCATCAATTCAGCTACAATTTTCAGTGCAGAGGCAGAGACAGGGGGACTGAACGTGATCAGACCTGGAGCTCTTTGGGTTGCTGTTTGCTAGCGACTGTGGCCGTCTCCAGCCAGGAGGGGAAGAGGGGGGGGGGTCGGCAGGAGAGGGGACCGACCGACCGCCTTCCCTCTCCCCTCCTACCCCCCCCTCCTGTCTGCTTTACAATCCAGGGGTCTGCAGTGGTGTCCCCTGAGAGCAGCACATCTGGATACAGCTAGCGAGGTCAGGTCCCCCTGTGCCTAGGGCCACAAGAACTGGAGTTCAATTAAAAGAAATCACGGTTAACCCTTTGCTTCCCTCATTCCCCATTTCATTCTTCCCCCCCCCCGCCCTCAAATTAAACACCAAAACCTCTTTCCTCCACTTCCCCTTCAGTATCACCACATGGGAGCCGCTAGCTCCAGAAAAGCAAGAGGTTAAGGAGAAGAATGAAACGCATCCTCCCAAAGCCCAAATTATTTCCTTTCTGGGCAACATTAATACCAACCTCCAAACAGGAACGGTGGGGGTACGGTCAGACAGAGGATTTATACCCCCTAAAGGGCGCTAGAAAGTGTCTATGTCACCCAAAGACCAAGGAAAAGGCGTTTGGGTCTTTAAACTGAACTATGGACTCCTCTCTTTGATGGGCTAAAGGCTGGAGAGAGAGGATGATTCTTCAGAACTGCAGTGAAAAAAAATCATCTGAAATGTACAAAATATATTAAAAACAATCGGAAATTTACGAACACTGAGTTCTGGTGATAGCGCCATCTCCAAGGTGACAAGATATAGCAAATAAACGCATGCACACTTTAAAAATCATTTTGGATCCCAATTTCTCCACAAATGTAAGAATATAGACAGTACACTCTCTCACTCTCTCTCTCTCTCTCACACACACACACACTTTAGAGATGTGTTTTGGTTCTCAATACCTCAGCATTTAACTGCAAAAAAACTGAAATATGATACCACAGCTATTTCCTTAGAAGTGACTTAAAGAAAATGAGTCAAATTGAAGCATACTAGGGCTGCCTGATAGATTGGATCTATAATTTATATACACTGTTTTGTCATCCACTCCCCCACCCCCCATTACCCTTCTGTTTGGTCTTAAAAAAAAAAGTTTGGTGAAAAGTCCCAAGAGACAAAATAAGCGAACCTGTAAAACATTAAACCAGACAAGTTGAACACACTATTATTTTCTCATAATAATGCAACAAAAGAAGTTTTGCTTCCTGACTTTCTCTAACCCCCACCTCCTGAAGTTATCTCAAACTTTTGAAAAAGGCTGGGATATTCAGAAACGTGGTTTGCCAGATTCTGGATCATCCAATTGATGTGCACCGACTCGGATTTAACAGTTTGATAGAATCGGTACAAGGGGAAAGAAATCCCAAATAATGAATAAAATAATAATAATAAAGGATGTGATATCCTTAACGTTTAATATTTGAATGCCCAGAGAAAGGCAAAAGTTATTTCAAAGTGAAATGTTTGTGTACAATTCTGGCAAATATGTGTAACGTTTAATCTGATGCTCGACTTTTTGGTGCATAATTATAGAGAGAAAATAATTCTGATTTTTTAAATCAAGTTACTGACAACTGGGAAATTATTTGATCTTGGCACCTACAATAGTTTTTACCTTAACAGTTTTCAAATGGTTGCATTCAGACAGGTTAAACGATTTTCTCGCTCTCTCTCCTCTCTCTCTCAATACACTTATGAAAGAAACGAAATTCTAGTCTAAAGTATTGAGTTAAATGTTGCTCATAATCTCCTGGCATTTTTTCCCCTTTATCCTTTAATTGAATCACACAGAGTTCGGTCTCACATAGGAGGTGGATACTCATCCCTGAGTGTAACCCTACTGAAATCAATGGGGTATACACCAGGCTGGAATTTGGCCCGTGATATTTAGCCTAAAATATCCAACATCAAAGGAGTTAACGGCCCGTTATAGTCCAATGCCAGTCTTTCGCATGGGGAGATACCCGCAAATGTGTATTTGTGTTTTTGTCTTTGATTTATGCAGAAATATTTTGGCCACAACTTCAAACTTTGTATATTTCTTTTACATCTACTTTTTCTTCAAAGGTGAAGAAAGGATCGCAGCATATTTGGGCCTGAGCGGCGGGTTTGAAAGCGTGTAGGGTATTAACTGGCATGAATCTATCTTGTTGCCTGTTGTAATCAGACAGTATCACCTTGTGTTCTGGTTAAGAATGCAAGATTTTGAGCTCTGTCGTCATTTTGTAGCAAATGAAAGAAATCGGTTAGCAACTGGTCAGCCAGCCTCCTTTGACTCTGTACCTAGAAAGTGGCCCATTTCCCACAGTTCCTCTTAAAAGTTCCTCTTAAAAATAAGTCCTAGATCTGCAACAGCAGAAGAGGGGGAGGGGAGGGGGGGGGGGACTGGGGCTTGATCCTGCTGCAATCCTACCTAGAGAAAAAGGTCCCATCGACTTCAATGGGAGTTTTAGGGTTGGGTTGCGATGTGGCACTAACTTCACTGCAGAATTAAAAGGCGAAGTGTTTTTAACCTCCACTTTCTTACAAAGCAAAGAAGGAAAGCCAAGCCTAGGGCCCGATCCCCAGGCAAGACTCCCATTCGAACCCAGGGGCCAAAATTCTGCTCTCAGCTACAAGGGTAAAATCTGACTGCTTTGGAATCCCTCCAGATTTCCACCCATGTAACAGAGCAGTGGAGTGCAGGATCGGGTCCCAGGACCCATAGCTCTTGCTGAATAGGAACGAATATTTGGAAACACAAGTCCTAAAAAAAAAAAAGTTGTGTGATGCTAATAAACCCTTAACTAAAATCTAGTGTCTTGGACGTTGTGTGGAGAAGATACAGGGTAGCTTTGAAGCTAGCACACAATTGTGCAGAAAGGTGGTTAAACCGTCCTGGATGGTTTTATTTGAGATCCATGTCCTAATAATCCAGTCCCCTTCCCTTGCCTCCTCTCCCCGCCAACCAAACCACCCCACAATTATTGAAAAGTTAAGCACGAAAAAAACAAAAATACTGAAGGCCAAAAACACAGACTGCAGCGCACCAGCTCAAAAGTCTGGCCCCTCGCTTGAGGCCATAATTAATTTGAGATTTATTTTTATTGGAGAACTCAGTCTCGTCTGACCTTAGCCAAACAGACTTCAGCTAGACCCTTGATGCGCTTGAATGGAACAGAATATTTCTCTCTAACTTCTCTTCGGGCGTCCGTGCCTGCTTTGAATTTGTTCCTCAGACTTCAGATATTTGGAGATTTGAAGAAAAGATTTAAAGCATTTCCCCCCCCCCTTTAACATCCACTTTTTTTTTGACACAGT